CCTTGGAGTTGTTTTTTTTCTATAAGGTAACAAATGTCACTGGAATTCTGAGGGATTACATGGAATCTATAGATTGCTTTCCATACTAGGGCATTTTAATAATCTTAAATTTGTGCACATTGGAGAGCGTTCATTTATTTGTGTCTTCAGTGACTTTCATCAGTGTTGTATAGTTTTCGGTTAACTGATTTTTCACCACTTTGGTTGTATGTCTTCCAAGTATTTTCTTTTTTATGCTCTTATAAATGGGATTTTTGGCTGGGGAGATGTCTCAGTAGAATAAGCACTTGCCTGGCAAGCGCAAGGGCCTGAGTTCAATCCCTGGTTCCACAAAAAAAAATTGGTTCTGGAAAAAAAAAAAAAAAAAAAAAAAAAAAAAAAAAAAAAAATGGGATTTTTAAAATTTCTTTTTTGGATATTTGTTGTTCTTTTATAGAAATGCAGTTGATTTTGTATGTTGGTTTTTGTATCCTGCAACTTTACTAGACAGGTTTTTTTTGGTGAAATTTTTAAGGTTTTCTGTATATTGAGTAAGATAATAATAAACAGATGAATTTACTTTTTTTCAATTTGGATGCCATTTGTTTGTCTTATTTAATTGACACTTTGATTACCTTCAAAGGGCATTTTGTAGAAGATGAACACAGAAGGTATAGGTTTATAGTATTTTGAGTGATAAAATAATCTGTCATAGGGCTACAATTTGTTGATGTGGACGCAGGTCTTTCATTACTCGTTAAAGTCTACCCTGACTGGAGAATAGTGAACAGGTGGTCCAGAGTAATTTTCTTTTCTCTAGCTTTTTGCATTTGTCCAGTTCACTCAGTCAACAGGAAAGTAATTGTCTCTGTCTACTGCTAAGTTTTTGTTACTTATTACTCTAGGCCACTGGGGCAATGGATGTCAAAGTTTTAGAGAAATCTGACTGCAGAGTTGGCTCATGTTCTTATTGTTTAAGACAGTGTTGGGGGAGCTTTAAAGAGTAGCAAGGTACCTGTCACTGGAAGCATTGAAGGAGCGGTAGAGTGGCAATAATGATTAACATTTACCTAGCATTTATTCTGTATTATTTTATACTGATATCAAATCCATGTGATGGGAATTACTATTGCTTTGTATTATGATTTGAAACTGAGGCCTAGAGAGGCTAAATAAGGGAAAAAACAAAACCAAACAAAAGGGGCTGGTGAGATAGCTTAGTAGAATAAAAGCTTGTCTGGCAAGTGCAAGGACCTGAGTTCAATCCCCGGTTCCGCAAAAATAAAACAAAAAAAAACAACAGATTAGCTAAGTAGTAAGTGGCAGGGATGGGATTTGTAACTCAGGTCTGACTCGAGTCTGTATGTGAACCATCGGTCTGTACCAGCTCTCCCTGAGTGGTGTCTACTGCTGGGGGTTGCTGTGTTGCTTGGGAAGTTACTGCAGAAGGCCTCTGGAAGCTTTCTAGCTCTTCGGAGGCGAGAGCTTTACACTGGGTGATGATACGTGTCGGGCATTCCCTGGTCCTTACGTGTATGTCTCTCAACCAAAGGGCCTTTTTATCTCCACCTTTAGTTTGACCTTGTCCTACCCAAGGTTGGTGACTGCTTGACACATAGAGCAATGAGCTTCATTCTCTAGCATGCATTCACCCCTTAGGAGGGTAGGGAAGGTGCATTAAAAAAAATTCCAATTCCTACACTGGGGCCCGGCGATAGTGCCGCAGTTGCCTGCGCAGCCTTCACCTGTTCTGAAGCATAGCTCAAGCCTCCTTGCTCCCGTCTGGCACCTGTCTTCTGGTCTTTGTTTGGGTGGTAGAATTTTGCTTTGTTTCTGAGATTCTGTCCTAGTTCTCTTAACTGGATTTGTACCTGAGCCTTTTCCTGGCAGTCTATTTTGGTAGCGTGCTTTGTTCTTCAGTTTCTGGAGCTGGCCGGGCATCATACCTGGCAGACTTCCTTCCAGAGGTCAGCTCTTGCTGCCCGTTGGCAGGTTTACCAGGATTGTTAGATGGCCTGAGTTTCCAGGGGTCAGTCTTGTTTTGTCTTGTCTTGTTTTGCTGCTCTCTATCTAACGAGAGCCCTGCCACCCTTTATTTTGCTGCTCACACCTGAGGTAAAGGGCCGAGGATTTAAAAGCCACCATTTGTCCTCCTTCGTTCCCTCTGAAGTCTCGGCTACTAGAGTCCTTTGTCCTTAGGCCGTAGACAGGGAGAGTGCGGAGCATGTCCACCTTTGCTGCCTGCTGTCCTGGCTGTGTGAATGTGCTCCTGCCACGCGGACTGTGTGCCCTGCAACACTGAGCACCATCAGAGGTGACCCAATGGTACACAGGCTATAGTTAGACAAGATGAGGCTGGTCTCTTGTGATGAATGATGTGGACGGCGTTCGTTCTTTCGTCCTCTGTCCCGTAAATGATGATCGAGCAGCTGCTGTGCTCTTTGCAGGGGGATTGGTGCTGGGGGATTGAACCACGGTCCCTGTGCTTTGCTTAGCTTAGCTTGTTCTAAGTAGGTGAGCCATCTCACCAGCCCGTAAGTGCTTATTTGAAAGTGCAAGGTCCTGAATTTGATCCCCATTATTAAAAAAAAAAAGCCTCCAAAAGGAACATTACAACATCCTGTTCTATAGGGAGTTGAGAAAGCATGGACCAACATCTCCCTAAGGACACTGAGAGCTGCGTGTGTACAGGCGACTTTGAAGGCGGTGCGGAGGAGCCTGAGCCTTCCGTGCCAGCTTGAGTTGCAGCCAGCCCTTGGGTCGAGTTCCTTGGTCAAAGGTCCACTGTGTAATAATTGTATCAAAGAGGAGAAAGAATTTGCTCTTCACAATTCTTTTGTCCTTAGAAGTTTTGCTTTAAAAGGTGCTAAAGAAGATGTGAAAAAGCAAATCGTAGATGCTTTGTTGCATCCAAGTTAGCATTCACTGGGGTGGAGGTGGAGCTCAGTGGCAGAACTCTGCTCGGCTTCAGTCCCTGATCCCCCTGCATCGCCCCGTCCACTGCGACTCTAAGATTACTGTGTGCTCAGAAGTTCTGTGAGGCAATCCTTATGGATATCAGTATGAAGATTTCTCAGAGAGCTGCAGTTCGAAATTCCGTAGGACCCAGCAGACCCCTGCTAGGGCTAAAGACACTGTGCTGCAGCGATCCGTGCATGCCGACGTTCAGAGCAGCACAGTTCGTAACAGCTGTATCCTGGAAGCAGCCTGTGTAACCAAGAACAGACAGCTGGATGAGGAAACTGTGGTGTTTGTGTGTCACGGACTACTTATCTATAAAGGCTGACAGATTTGTAGGAAAATGGATGTCCCTGGAAAATATAATGTTCAGTGAAATAAACCAGATGCATAAGCTTAAGTACCATTTAGTATCATTTGAGTGAGGCAGCATACAAAGAGAATAATAAAGGATGGCCGGAGGGGACAAGGGGATGGGTCTCATGCAGTGGGAGGGTGGTCCAAGGGAACAAGGGTGAGGGGTGAGCAGGAGGGCAAGGGGAAGTGTGTAGGATAAAGATGTGCCGTGTATAGGAGCCTAGGGACCGCTGTGAATGTAGACACGCGGCATAGCCTGAGCTAAGATAATAATACAAGAATGAAAACGGGGAGACGGGAATGAATCAGGTGCCGTGCCGCTGAGCTCCATCCCGGCCCTGAGCCTTAGCTTGAATATGACTGTTATTCAAAATGTTCTTACCTCAGAGGTGAAAAATTTCCAATATTGTTTTGTGGTGTTCTCCAACATAAAGGTAATGTATTTTGCATATTTCAAGGGGGAAGCATCTTAATTCAGGTGTTCATTTGCTTCACTTCAAGTAGATTTTTAAATTTCATTTTGCATACCATAAGTGTCCCTGAAGTACACATACTCAGACAAAGTACTCTGAAGGATCTGTTTCTTGAAGCATGCTGGCTTTGTGTTTTGTTTTTAATTTGTAGGTTTTTGGGAATAATGTACTTGTTACTTAAAGTAGCCTTTCGTTACTTTTAATAGATATTTTACCCGAATAAACATGAAATAATTTTAGTTTCACAACTGATAATGTTGATTATAAGATAACTTCCTATTGTGCCCTCATGTAGGTACATTTAATAGTTTGATCTAGCAAACAAGTGAAACCATCAATGTAAAGCACTTGAAGAGCAGGATTCCTTTTGTGGTTGGTTTGTTTATTTTTTTGGTCAGGGGCTTGTATCAGGATCTTGCACTAGCCAGGCACGTGCTGTGCCACTGAGCCCTATCCCCTGTCCTGTGACTGGTTTGTTATTTCACTGTGGCTGTGATAAATAACCCTAAGGGACATCCTGTACCTGTAAATAAATGACATAGCCCAATATATTTGGGAGTTCTTAGTCCTTGTAATGAATTACTGTTTCTTTTATAAATTCAATATCATTTCTACTTATGCACTCACCAAGCTTCTTTCTGATTTACACATTCTCTAGAAAATAATAAGGAAAGACTGAAAAAAACAGGTGTAAGAATACAGGGTCAGAAAAGCCAAGACTGGAAATGCAGCTGAGCTTCAGGAAAAATGAGAAGTGGGAGCCAGGAATGCCAGGGAAAGCCAAGTAGCACCTGCTGTCTGTTTCCTGTCTCAGCTTCTTTGCTTATTGTTTAACCTCTTTCCTCTCCCAGCCAGCTGGCTCCTCTGTGTTTGTCCACTCACACGATGGAATATGAGTTTCCTTGTTTACTGGTTCAAGTGCAAGGAGATTCTCTCTCTCTCTCTCTCTCTCTCTCTCTCTCTCTCTCTCTCTCTC